ATAATTTACAGGGAATCAACAGTAGAGTAGAGGATGCTGAGAATCAAATCAGCAATTTGGAACATGAGGAAACAAAAAACACCCAACCAGAAGAGCAAAAAGAAAAAAGAATCCAGAAATATGAAGATAGTATAAAGAGCCTCTGGGACAACTTCAAGAGGCCCAACATTCGTATTATCGGGGTGTCAGAGGGGAAGAAAGAAACCAAGAAATTGAAAACCTATTTGAAAAAATAATTACAGAAAAATTCCCCTACCTGGGGAAAGAAATCAACTCTCAAGTCCAGGAAGCACAGAGGGTCCCAAACAAGAGGAACCCAAAGAGGCCCACAGCAAGACACATCATCATTAAAATGCCAAAGATTAAAGACAAAGAGAGAATCTTAAAAGCGGCAAGAGAAAAGTAGTTAGTGACCTACAAGTGAGCACTCATACGACTGTCAGCTGATTTCTCAGCAGAAACCTTGCAGGCCAGAAGGGAATGGCAAGAAGTATTCAAAGTGATGAAAAACATGGAACTACAACAAAGATTACTCTACCCAGCAAAGCTATCATTTAGAATTGAGGGTCAGATAAAGAGCTTCACAGATAAGAAAAAGCTAAAGGAGTTCATCACCACCAGACCAGCACTACAGGAAATGTTGAAGGGTCTTCTTTAAGAAGAAGCTAATGAACAAAAGAATCTGACAAACTAAATAGATCCAGAGACATTGACGCATGTAACAGACAGTCATATCTCAGAGGAAAGAAGAAAGGGGGGATGGAGGGTGGGAAGAGATTAACCAAAGAAGTTATATGCATATATGCATAACCCATAGACACAGTCAATAACAGGGTGAAGGCCTGGGGAGGGGAGGGGAGCGAAGTGGAGGGGGTCAATGGGGGGGGGAAATGGGACACCTGTAATACTCTCAACAATAAGGATAAATTTTTTAAAAAATAAGACTATGAAAAGTTTTCTTACTTGGCTTCTGGAACCCTATACTCTCCTCCTCCACTCTCACACTCCTCCCTCCCAATTTTTCTGCTAAATCACTGGCATTTCTTCCCAGTCTTCTAGGTCATCAGTATCTCTCTGACATGAACACCCAAGGCATTCCCTAACCACAGTTGCTCCTAGTCATCATTCTGTAGACCCTATAGACTCTATATCTTGCTTTATTCCACTACCTGATATGTTATCTAGTTAGGACCTTTCTCCCCCTCGATAGAATGTAAGTTCTTTGAGGGCAGGACTTTGCTTTGCTCTTTATTCCATTCCCAGAAACTAGAGCAGTTCTGGGTACATAATACATGCTCAAAATAAAAGTTTTGTTGGATGGATAGTAGAGCCACGCTGGAGGACAATTTCACAATATCTAGGGAAGATTACCTGGCTATTCCATGTCTAGTCTGGGATACAAGGAATCATACAAAGATGGTCGGCCATTGCAATGCCACATGTAACAGTGAAGCATGAAACACACTAAATGTCCATTGACGGGGGAATGGATAAAGTCATACAGTGGAATTCTATAAAGACTTTGAAATGAATGTACTAGAGCTACGTGAATGAACATGAACGGTTATAAAAAATATAATATTGACTAAACACGTGTATAGGATGTTATTTATGAAATTTTAAACATTGAAAAACAACTCTATAGTGTTTATGGGCAAGGACATGGGCAGTAAAATATAGAAATATGGTTGGGAAGGATACACAACCACCTCAGGACTGTAGTCACCTCCAAGGAAGGTGCAGAATTAGAGGAACCAGGTTTCAAACATATCTGTACCTTTTTTACTTTTAAAGCAAAAAAAAACTTGCTAAATCCAAGCATTATCATAATACTCCCTACTTTTATACACAAATAAGTATGTCATTTATCCTCTACTTTTCTATATGTTTTAAACACTCCAGAATTTTTTAAGCGAATAAAAAATGTCCAAGTTGCAGAAAAATAAAAGTTTTTGAAACACCATCTTGTGGGCTTGGAAGCAACATTTGAGCAAAAAGGCATAATTTGCAGTCGGCAACAAAACTTGTTGCTAGGATTGCTTGGTTAATATTCTTTTGTTGGAAAGGTGTGGTTTGGGTCAAAGGAGAAAAGGAAAACAGCCCAATAAAAGGGAATGTCTGGTTGTGCCGTTGCCACAGTGGAGAGGGGCAGGTGCAGCAAAGGTTCAAGCTGTCCCACAGGCAAGGATGTCTGTGTCTATGGGACACCAAAAGGCACCTGTCACATCTGGAACACAATTTGCTAACACTCGCAATTACAGAACTCAGAAAGACACACTGTTTTTTACAATATATTTCCTTGACATAGGAAATGTACATACATATAAATATGCGTATATATTTACAATAATAGGTTTATTCTTTGCGCACACTCTTCTGAGCTTCCCCTGCCTTCCACTCAATATTCGGCTATGGCCTTCCTACCATGTCAAGGAATTGAATTGGATGTACAGCCATAATTTTTTTTTATAACTTCATCAATTTTTTTAAAAGACGTTTTTATTGATTCTAGAGAGAAAGGAAGGGAGAGGGAGAGAGAGAGAGAAACATCCATGAGAGAGAAACATGGATGGGCTGCCTCCTGCACGCCCCCTACCGGGGATCGCGCCCACAACCCGGGAGCACGAATGGAACAGTGATACTCAACCACTGAACCACACCTGCCCGGCCAGACAATTTTTAATGGCTAGTCTACCTGACTGGAGTTCCTATAGTTTACTTCACCAGCCCTTTATTGTGGGACAAGTTGTTTCCAGTCCTCCCTGGCATAAACAACTGCAATAAGCATATTTGCGTATTTGACTGTTTACTTAGGACAAACTCCCAGGTGTGGAACTCCTGGGCCAGAGCTAATGCACCTGAATTTTGATCCACGTTTCCAGACTGACCTTCTAGAAAGTGCTTTTGTTCGTTTGGTCCAAAGGCTTTTAATCAGCTTACACTCCCACAAGCAGGGTAGCAGCTGTTTAACGCACAGGCCGCAGATCGCAAACTTGCTGAGCGTGAGCGACCCCTGTCCGGCAAACTGTCCGCGGGCTTTTCGGGGTATTTTTCACGGAAGGAAAGGTCCGGCGAACGCCGAGACCCATGGGGGTAGAGTGAGCGCCCTCCCTCCGGCTCTGCCCGCCCGCGCAAAGCTGGAAAAGCAAAGTTTCCCAGGGGCGGTAGGAAGCGCAGCTGG